CCCATCTCTATCTACTCTCTCCCCTTAACCTCTCTCTCTCTTCCCCCCGTAAACCCTCTGCTTTGGGTTTCGTCAATTTATATAACTCCAAAGCCTTTTCGGCAAGTTTTCTACAAATACATGAAGAAATCATAGTCCATGAACCCAATTCTTTCGGAGCAGTTCCATTGGAAACCAACCATGAATTCTCCATCTGATAAAATTGTCCATACATGTTGATGAGAGAGGAGTAAGAAAGAGGGGTTGGGAGGTGAGAGGGAGAGGGTTCGGGGGAGAGAGAGAGAGGCGTTCAAGGGAGAGGGCGTGGGAGAGAGTCAGAGGTGAGCGAGAAGAAGAAGACGGTAAACAGAGAGCCCTAGAACGTCATTTTAAAAATTGTTTGGGATGAAAATATATTATAAAATAAGATCAGATAGGTTTAATAGGTTAAAATATACTTTATTAAAAAACTAATGCCACCAGACGCTTGTCAAATTCATAGGTCTATTGAAAAATGATTCATCAAATTAAGGTGTACATAGAAATTTTCCCAAAAACAAAATACACTTTATAACCTTTGGAGCACATGGTCGGGTTCAAACCCATAACCAAGCCCTTAAAACCCATGCATACCTCACACCTTGCTAGTGAAATAAAAAACATATAATGCATACCATGGTCCATTTAACCGCCTGATCTAGACAAGGAGCTAGCATGGAGCCCACTGTTTCTTGATCTAGATTGGACGATTCCCAATCATCTGGATTGTACTTTTTTAATCAACCTATCTACTTATTCCTTGTCGAGAGAAGGTGTTTGTCACTTGGTGTGCTCATCAGGGATGGTGTGCTCATCAGGGATAGCTGTGTACTCCCAATTTATTAAAATGAAATTTGGTCACTGATAAAAAAATAAAAAATGAAAGGAAACAATCTTCTTGGTTCACTTCTTCAAAATCGATAGGTGGCTAAAACAACGCTTAGTACAAGAATAATGGAGAAAAGCTACAGAAAGCAGCAAGACAAAAATATACCGAGCCCCTCAGGTTCGAAGCCAAATTCAAAGTTCATCCACTACCATAGTGCTAATTCTAAGTGCCACATAAACAAGAAACAACGCTTCCTTGATCTGAAGGCTTTGACACCATGCTCACCCAGCCAAGCCGCCAAATTAAATTTGTAGACACAAAATTATGTGTGTTCGCTGCCAGCATGAACAGATGCCCGCTCTTGCCACACGTAATAATGAGAAGGCAGATTCACAAGCTATCTTGAAAGCTTTCTTCTCCACTCAGTGCGACCCCTGTTAATCTCAAATCCATCTTTAGATAAGCGCAGCATATGCAAGAACTGGACGCAGTCTGAGCTCTCATTTTGTTGCCTCGCATTGGGAGACCCATTTGTAATTGCTGTACTCCCATTGTATTGTAAAGCATCTATGGAATCATCCAACTCGATGCTGGTGAGAGAGTCTACCATGTCATCGTGTTGGCATTCCCTTCTGTAATCAAGTGTTATCTTCTGCAGCTCATGACTGTCGAGAATCTCTTGGGGCATGCTCTGAAGGATAGAAAAGATAATTTTATTCAATAAACAAATAATGCAAACAAGGGATATCACTCAGTATAGTAATAGAAATTTGGCAATAGAAAAACATGATTACAGGGCATTAGATATGGAGATCCCCATCTTGACAATTAAGTTTTCGATGATTAAGATACCAGGAATATAGAAGGAAAAGAAAAACAAGAAACTGCTAAATTCAAGAATAAACTATCTGGATTGATCAAGGCCAGTAGTAGAGCAACTGACCTCAAGTACCCATCCTATGTAGGTGACATTGTTGACATGCTGGTTCATGTCTAGATCTGCTCTCCTAGGCTGCAATTTTCCTCAAAAGGGTTGGATTTGATGCAAAGAGGTCCTCGATAGTAACAGGATTGTAAGCTAGGAAGTACATAATGATGTTAAAGGTTCAAATGTTCAAGAAATTTACCACAAGTTTTAATCGTGAATGCTGAGTGGGATCTTCAAGCTTAGGAATTTTCTTCAAACTGCTATTGCCCTCCTCTGGAAAAACTAATCTGAATAAAATGCATCAAATACTTAGAACAAGAAGAAGTGAATCATATGGAGCTCACAAATAGAAACAATTCAGTAAGGCTGAAAAAAGGCTATAGCTCCTCACTCCCAATATCAAGAATTTTCTTCGAAGATGAAAAATATTCAGTGAAAAAGTATTCTCTGGTCCATGCCCAAACTAGTGACATGTATAACTCTACTTATATCAAGCTGTTACATCCCTTCATTAGCACATTCAGGATTCCAAAAGTTTTAGTATAAATGAGTTAATGGAGCATCTGAAATCACTTTAACTGTTGACATGTGATGTCTCTCCACATGGTTAAGCTTCATATTGAGTTATGTGGTAGCGTAAATACCTCCAGATGTTCTATTGTTTCATATGGTCAGCAGACAGAAATGAGAGATTACCATAAACCGAAACAACATAGATAGACCTCTTAAACTCAAGTTGGAACACTAGTAATTGTATACAATAACCCACCAAGAATTATCAATATAGTGAATCCATATAAGTGTATGCGCTATAGACATCATTCAAGCATCTCTCCACACACACTTGGATACAAGCCAGATTCCATTAGTCATTTGCTGAAACAAAAATCTTTCCCTTGAGTTGAAGGCCATAGATCAACAGAAAAGGCACTTGGATTTGAAACATTGAAGAGTTGTGGCTTAGTGAACCAAATATCCTAGGCCCATCCTCCTAACCTTATGCTTCACAAAAACTTCTCTTGCTTTCTTGTTAAGGTATTACGGATGAGTTCATTGAAGCAAAGAAGATAACAAAGAGATCAAGGTATCTTTCCTCTGAGACATGCTATTCTAACTCATGTTCTTCTATTCCGACACAAAAAGATGGAGCTGATACCATACTCCCCCACCCATGTTTTGTGAAAAAATGTATACATCTCCCCACCTCCTCTCACTTAGGAAGGGTTTTACAGAGAAACAACCTACTTATAACTTATCTTTTTGCCTAAGCACCATCCACGACTATATATTTAGTTTTCATATGGTAAATAGTAGAGCAAACAAACACTGCATCTTTTAAGTGCCTATATAGGACGCAGTTGTTGGGAAACTAGCTATCGCCTATCTATGGGATCCAGTGTTAGGGATGCACTGTCCTTGCATTAAATGCTTATTAATAGCTGTTACATGTAGTGTGCGAGAAGGGCTGTCATATGTAGAGAGATACAGCGAGCCAGGTGGAGTTGACTGGCATTGTTGATTATATCGATATCAGGCGGCATATTTGTTGTCACTGTATATACCACACTAGTTTGTTCGGCCCTTTTAGCACTATAAATTATCCTTTTAATAAATGAAACACTACACATAACCCACATTTGATAACCCCAAAATATCCTGATATTCAGAATATAATGCAAACCAATACTATCTAATTAAAAAATCCAGTGTCTAAAATCCTAATCCAGGTAAGAGTCTAAAGTCCAAGTTTCCAAAAAACAACTTCAAACTATTTGATGATCCAGGAAAATACTTGGGTTAGCATTTTTCTGTCACAAATTCATTGATTCAGCCTTCCCTCCCTCTGGCACTGAATCAGTCAGGTAGTTCCCTGAAAGATCCAGGGCATCAGGCTTTTGAAAATTACCGGAAAAGCTTGGGTATCAAACCAGTGAGCAAATTTATGACGCTTTTGAAAGTAACCTAAAAGCTTGGATTTAACCAGTGAGCAGGTCTTTCCTTAAGAAACTGTAACTGTAACATTGGAGGATGGAAGGAAATTGTTGCTGGAATCTTACTGCAGAATTGATTGGGAGAGATTTTCAGGCAAAGAAGCTTCGCTAAACAAGAGAGATCAGGTATTGGGCCACGAAGAGACTCGAGTCACCGGATTCTAGCTAGTATTTTTCCAGAAACACAATTCCAGCTAAATTCAGGTTAGGTCAGCTTGGTCAATTTTGCTGTGGAGTAAGGAATAAAACCTGAACTTTTTCCCACTCAACTGAGAGTTTCTGATTCCAATAATTGGCCTATGTTTTCAGGCAAATGGCCACGGAGATTACAATTCTACATAACCTTGAGATTGGGGAGTCCGAATGGAAAAGAGGGAAAAGTACCAGTAATTTTTCTACAATTTTAAATTATATCTAGGTAAGTCTAGAGAGAGAAAAATGAGATGACTGATAAATAGCTCTTGGAATCATCTTCTTGGCTATAAAGACCCAGAGTCGTGACTCTAAATTGAAAGACAACTGACTCCATGCCATTCGCACAATCAGTGTTGGGTTTCATGAAAGAAAGCATAGAGGATGATCCTCTTTAGGCCTTTAAGCCTAAGAGACCTGCTTCAGCATCAGGGTGACATTTGTAGAAAAAAGTGAAGGCAAAGATTTGTAGAAACTTATCAACTCCAATGTCTGAGATTTGGCTATTGTAAGGATTTTGGAGTTCTCCTTTAGCATGTGAACGTCTGGTCTACGATCGGGAATCAATTCACTTTCATTTACTCAATTTTCCATTACTATTTTCTTTTATTGATTGGAGAACGGGAATAGAGAATGATGGAGTTGCAAACACATAGAGGCCTTTCTGTTGGAACATAGCACCTTAACAGATGCCCTCTTATTGTTTAACAAAATGCCAGAGGGACCTAGTTCTCCAAACACCATGAACTATACAGTCGTCCTTTCTGGTTTGTACAATGCTATAAAAAACTGTCATACATTACTATACACCAAAGGAGGATTTGTTAAAAGAAGGCTGTATCTCATCAATGGCCTTTGCAAGGCCATAAACATCAATCGGGCTCTCAATTTACTTAAGGAGCTATTATGAAACGGTCAGCCAAACAATCAAAAACATCAAATCCACAAAAATTCTGAAAGATATAGAGACTGTCAAACATACAGTAGAAATATATAATAGGATATTCCATAATTCAGAAATAAGGGAAGCTAGCAAAGCCTTCATCCAGATTTTCAAATTTTTGAATACTCAAAATCTTGTTGTCACAAACAGTTATGTAAGAACTGGACCGGCAACCAGCGATTAGTGCCCTGGCCAGTCAGGTCATGTCCCTAGACCGGCTGGTCCATTGAACCAGTGTATCAGGCAGTCCAATGTCTAGAGTGGCCAGTCTACTGGTCCATGGATGGTTCCGAAATGATAAACTTTCTTTTTTTGTCTTTTCATAAAAGTTTTAAGGAGGATTCTTTGTACCTCCTCGGTTTTGTATGGAGGTGTTTGGTAAAAGAAATGATTGGGATCTATTTGGAAAAATAAAAAAGAATTTTAGAGAGAATAATCTTCTCCCTCTCTCAACCTAAAGAACCAAGGATCTAAGGGAAAAATCTAGCCACTTTTACGATCAAAATTAGGCCAAAAAGAGGAAAACTTCAACACCCATGTATATGTGTGTAGTTTATTTTAAGTCTTTCTGTTTTGGATTTAAACAAAGTCAAAAAATTTGAAAAAAAATTAGTTTTTGGGTTTAGGGCTTTAACAAAAAAACAATTGTGCAATTTTCTATTTTCAGTTTGATTTAGTGTTTCTTGTAGGGCTTACAATTTGTAAAAGCCCTTAATTGTAAAACCGAAATAGCAAAAACGAAAAATAGAAATTTTTGTGCATTTCCTATATTTTAAAGACTTTTACAATGTGTAAATGCGATTTAAAATGTAAAACTGAAAATGCAAAAATAGAAAAATAGAACTTCAATTATCTTTCAAGTTTTGGTATTTTGGGTATTTAAATTTTAAGGGCTTTCACACTATGTAAAACAACCTTAAAAATCTACTGTCAAAAATGGAAAAAAAAAAAGAACATGAAAAAAAAAAAGAACATGAAAAAAAAAAAGAAAATGAATTTTATTATATGTTAATTTTTCTTTTTTTTTTTGCATTTTTGGTTTTTGAACATTAAGGGCTTCTACAATTTGTAAAATGCATTAAAAAGTTTGTTTATTTGCTGCTCATAATAAATTTTGAACTTTTTATAATTTTTGAATTTTTTATAATTTTTGAATTTTTTATAATTTTGTTTAATTTTCTATTTTTCCATAATTTTCCCCTCTTTAGGGGCGATTTGTCCTTATTTTTAAATTGTTTATCTTTTCAAATTACTTCACTGGTCCGGACCAGCTGGCCCTACAAGATCAGTGCCCTCAATGGTTTGGTCATTGGTCCAGTCCTAACAACATTATCCTCAAACGGACCCTTCTCTATTCCATTTCATCCAAGTCATAAAGTAACTATTGTTTTCTAAATGAATGCATACAACCTTTTAGGCCACGGCTTTGCTCTATCAGGCCATAGTTCTCTTGTTGGGCAATTGTCATTTATGACTGCAATATTACTTAAATATAATCTCCAGGTGAAAATGGCAATATTTCCAGAAATGCCATTTCGTTTACATAGTTGTGAAACACAGGAATCCTACATTGTGATTCAAGAAGAATGTGTAAAGGTAACAAGTTCAAAAACTTCTGCAAAATCACATCGTACATCAACAATATTGCTCTCAAACTTCATAAGAAAATAGCTTCATCACATGCAGAAAACATACATTATGAAAACTAGCACATCTCTTATTACTTCAATAAAAAACAATGTCTTACTGTCGCACTTAATACTTCCAAGTTCTGTCTGTTTGAAGCCACACTGTGTTGTTGAACATTATCCACCAGCCGCATGCCCAATTCTATTTTCATTAACATTAGTTCTACACAAAATTTACTGCCATAACTCCAGAAGAGAATGCTCAGTAATTTGTGTCATGTATGAGTCATTCTTTTACCTTCATACAGACAGAAACTGTTCGAATTTCCTCATGCTTTGCAAACATCTCAAGAGAAATTGCGATCCTACTGCCCAAAAGTTGATGCTTACTCATTCAAGCAATTAATTTGCCTAATAATCCTGAAAAATATTATAATTATGACAAGTGTTAAAAAATGTGGATTCGGCCGCCTAGGCCGGCACCCAGAGACGGCACCCTCAACAAATTGAAACCCCTCCCCCCCCAAAAAAAAAACCAAGAAAAATAGAGGAGTTCTGAGGGCATGGTTGTAAGCCTTAAGGAGTTTTTAAGGTAATTTTAGAGCCCCAAACTCCTCGTGAAATAGACGAAAACGTAATAGTACAGTCACATAACAGATTTACGGATACAAGTCTCAAAGAGATTGTAACTTGTAAGACATTAAAATGCTTGAAATCTCAAATGTCATTGTAGGAAACTAGAAGTCTAGACTAGAAATGATTGACAAAGTCATTTACTATTACTTTACAAATTACGATAAGACTTAACTGAGTATATAAGATCTTAGTTTCACTTTCACATAAGACTTAAGTCATTAAGATATCACATAATCAATTGTTTATCAAATAAAATAAAACCAAAATAATAGAATATCAAAACATGACATATTGTACAAAAAAGGAATCAACTATTCGTAAAAGAATACGATATATGCTCAATTTCATTGTCCAAATGAGAAAAAATTAAATTAATCACAAAAAAATCAATCTTTTAACTATAAACATGCAAATATATAGTAAAAAAAATAAAATAAAAGAAAAAACATATGATTCACAACATAATATATTGTAGCAAAATCAAATCAAAACCCTCTTTCAAATATGATAATGCTTTAAAAATAGCAAAATCAAATCGATGTCGGTCCAAACCATGTCTATTGGGTCGCCAAAAGTCCTCAAAATCAATTACTAGAAGAAGCTCCAAATCCACCCACGAACTTTTGCCTTGTTTTGGGAAGACATCGACAAAATAAAAGTTTTATCGATCTTCCGATAAATCACAAAAAGTGATTTTTGGGGGGGTTTTCTCCCCTAAAGGCCACAGTTTTTGTTTTGGGGGTTTAGAATATCCCGCAAAACTTTTTTCTCCCTTTTTAAGGGGGGGGGGAAATTACATTTTTTGACCCTCACCGAGGGTGTTTTTCCACTCGTTTGGAAAGGTTCATGGGGCGGCACTTAAGCGCGCGCCTAGGCAGCGCCTTGCCCGCCTAGGCAGGTTCCCAGAGACAACACGCATAATGACCCCACCCAGACAGCGCGTAAGCGTTTTTAAATTTTTTTGCCTAGGCGGTTGGGCAGCCGAATTTTCAAACACTGATTATGACAATTATAATAAAATTCAAAGATATGCACCTTCATGCTTTTTAAAAAGCTGGAGCTCTCTTTCATCACACCAGGAAGTTTTGAGGAAAGGAAATGAGTACAAACTTGAGAAATTTTCACAAGAGGAGCAACAAACCCAAAACCTGACGCAAACTATAGGATCCATCGATAGGATTAAGGTCTCTCCTTGAAACATGTTTTGATAAAGTATCATGCAAGTGGAGCAATAAAAAACTAAATGCGCATATATCAAGTTTCGATAGCATGCACACATCATTTTCTGAATGTTTATGTTGAATGGGAAGTGGAACGCAAGACTGCATTGGAGGGATGGAACAAATCTCATTAATTTCCAATAATTCATATAATGATCTTACAGCTCATCATAATACCTTAGACACATGTATAAACCTTGTATAAAAATAATATGATAAAACTATAATACACCATTGATATATGAGGCTTTCAAAACTCTCCCTCAAGTCAATGCATAAAGGCCATTATGCCCAAATCGAGAAGAATATGTAACTTACTCTGTCCAAGAGATTTGTTGAGAATATCCACAAGTTGATCCTCCATGCTTGCATAGGGAGGTCGAATGACCTAAGCCAGAACCTTTTCTCGTGTGAAGTGACAATCAACCTAACTATTATTTGTGTGCTCATGAAATACTATATTAGCGACAGCGGAAATAGCGAACTGGTTGTCACAATGAAATTCATGGAATATTTGGAACCTCTAAGTGCCTTGAGTCAAAGTAACTCACAATTGGTCCTGACCACGGGTCTATATTCAGCCTCAGCACTTGACCTTAGCCAGAAGACAAGCCTTAGACAAGATATGGAGGGAATCCAAGAAGACATTCCTATGGGCTAAAGAATTTGTTTTGGAAAGAAATGCATACCAGAATGCTGATGTCATGGATCTCCTACATTATCAACTATCCTCAAAGTAAAGGACTGAAGGTAGCCTCTTTACAAGCCCATCCAGTTACATCACAAGAGAGAGTCCACGTGGACACCCAAAATGTAAGAAGTGTTGTAGCCAGTCTCTCATTCACATACCCCACCCCACAGACCAAAAGCAGGAAACTCAACCTTCTTATAGCATCTATAGTTAAGTGCCCCAATCCAAAAGGACCACCGTTGCCTACAGAGCTTCCATCCAAGTTCAGGCGTAATGAGGGAGGCAGGGGACCCAGCAATTATTTACCACCATAAGAATGCTCAGATGTTCGGTATCCTTTTCAAAGAAACTTACTTCATAAAACAGACTTCTTATGCCTTCAGAATGTGCAACACTCAATTGTGACTTCCACACTTGACCTCATTCGCAATGCATAAACTCTAATGGTGCAGGGTGACTAGGCGATCCTCAATCCACTAGTCCAATGTAACTTATTCGTCAAAGAGTAAAAGCAAGAGTTCAAATCCAGTACAGAAGATCAATAATGATCAGAGATTCAGAACTTTCTAGCTAAAAAAAAAATCACATAGATTAGGCCCCCCACCTCATCTGCCTAAGCTGCCCAATGTTAATCAAGTGTCATTCATACTTCCATATGATATCTGGCCCAGTTTCTCTTGAACATTTATCCATACCAAGCTAAACTGACACCAAAGGGAGAGGAGATTGTGGACGGATTAATGACTCACTTGCAAAGTTGCTTGCCTAGGACATAAGATGCGGGGAACATCTTCACATCACCATTTTGAACAATAAAGTCAAAGACATGGCCATTTTAAGCAAGAGTTAAGGATGTAGAACTGACCCTCATTGCCTCGGGCTATATTGATCATTCAATATACATTTGTATGGTAACTTCAGTTGAGTTGAAATAGAGATATAAATAAGGGGAAAAAAAAAGTAGTCATGGTTATGCATAGGTATTTACACCGAATAAGTACCCTTTGTCATGTACAGAAAAATAAATTATGCAGACCTTGATAAATAATGCATTTTGATAACCTCCATGACATAAATTGATTGAATGAAATCTATCTCCGCATACTCGTATGATCCCATTATTAACAACATGATGGTCTCAGACTCTCAAATTTCCGCAAGTCTGTGCCTTCAAATTCAATTCTCCTATACGTGCAAATGAACATGTGCTCATCCAAGCTTGTATTCACAAATAGAAAAACATATATAAACATACAAAATGTGCATGCAAGCACATAGTTGTACTGTTTCTTCAAACAATTTTCTGATGGAGGCACTGTCTGAAAGTTTCTTTTGGCTCAAACAACATAGTATCCTTAAAACGACGTAATTATGTTAACAACCAAAACTGGATTGGAAGTATAAACAAGTGCATGAAAACCCTGACATAATAGCATGGCAAAACAACCAGTTAAACTAACCCCAAAAAACAGAAATTAAAAAAAAAACAAATCCAACTGTCACCAGTGTTCTTGAGAACATATTTAAAAACATGTACAATTATTGAACACAGAAAAACTTAGAAAGAATGAGTTATACCTAGGAGTACGCGGACAATAAATCAGGTACTCATCCCTAACATCATCTGTGACTTTCTCTAGACGCCTCGTATCTTGGTTCATCATCACCCATTTGCTGGACGCCAGAAAATTCGCAATTAAATAAGAAGCATCATAAATCAACATGAATACATGAAATTTCAATTAAAATAAGCAAAATCTGCATTATATCGGCTGTAGATGATGCACAGGCATCTGTAAGTATGAGGATACAAATAGATTTTAACATAGATATTTTTATATAATATTGTTTAAAGTAAACATGAACCTAATCCATCCAGTATTGAAAAACATAACCAGAAAAAGTAAACACCATTACACGTTTTTGAGCATAAATTCTTGCAAACTATTTTACAGAGCAACTTGCCTGGTGGCTCTACCAATAACCATATCTGTTGCGAAGTCCTTAAGAATCCAATCACGTCTGGTACCAATTCTTCCTTCCCCTTGGCACCAGGTTTCAATTTCCACTACATCACCCCTGTATGTTTCAAATTAAAGTGTTAATATAAACTGGTATTGTCCATTTTCTTGCAAATAGCTATGTTTTTGGGACAAAATCACAGGCTTTCACGCAAAAGAGACATTGTAGATGAGATAATGGGTACTGAATAAATTAATCTTGAAACTCTCAGGCATACCAAGCAGGATACTTGTAGATTTCAATATGCATGCGAGCAGTAACCCATATGAGATGCCTCTTTCTCATGGTAGGAGTAGTAGCAAAACCATCAGTGGAGAAGCCAACACTTTGAGCATGATTACATCCAACTTCCTGCATAATTAAACCAGGCATTGAGCATGATACATGCCACAAATGTGAAAACAACAACCCACTGGGCCAAAATTATTTAAAAAATATAAAAACACACAAAAAACCCTCATGCACCTGCGATATCATACAAATATGCTCAAACATTTAATGAATAGATGAAATCAATGCAATTCATATGCATTTGGGCATGTAACACCCTTTGAACGGCTACTTTTTCAGTACGTGCATAAACATGAGAGGGCAAAGCATGCATGCTTTTATAGGTTCAACTGTAAACCCTTACTATGAGTTACTGAAAAATTCAATGAAATGACTTCATTTGAACATGATTGACCCCAATAGCATCACAATACATAGCATCTAAAATGTCTTCAAATCACATATATCATAAACAATCGACAATGGAGATTGATCACAGTTCCCTATGAAAAGCATTCGCTTTTATATCGCCAATGTCTACCATTCTAGAGAGAGGAAAAGAAAGCTGTAAATGGAACTGTAAATTCCTCGATCTCAGCAACAGAATTGAATCTAGAAATAGAAATAGAAGACGGTTCCAAAGAGAACGAGAGAGAACCTGCAAGAGATTGGCCATGGTCTCAACAGTTGCAGTCTTGTTGATACCGACCTCATAACACCTGACAATGAAATTCTCCTTGAAAGAGAGGCCATCCGGCAACAAGCTACCAAGGCGAAGGCGATCAGCCAAGCTCCGCTCGCTAGAATTAGGGCTCTGATGCTTGAGATCCGAGCTCCTCGACCTCACCGACAAAGGAAAGGAGGACGGAGAGGAAGAAGAGCACAGCAGGGAAACCTTTCTGGCAGATTTTAGAGAGAGAAAGCGAGCATGGAGGAGAGGCTCCCCTGTCCCAGCCGTAGAGAGAGAGGGGACATTGCAGCTCTGCAACATTTTCTATGCCTCAGTCTTCACTCATACAATCAATCCATCTCTGATTGTTATGTTTTGTTTGGTTTGTGATGCGATGTGATTTTGAGGTGAGAAAAAATTGCTGCCTTTCGTTGAAGGAAGGAGGCCTCGTTAAGTGCGAGGATTCGAGAGATGGGTCGATACGACCGATGCTATTTTCGACACTTCGAAAGAGTGGTGAAAAAACTCGCCCTTTTTCGCTTTTCTTTTGTTGTTTGAGAGGGGAAGCGAGAAATGTAAAGAAATTGATGCAGATAAAAATTGGAATTTTTTTTTTTCCTTTTTTTTTTTTAATTTAAGAATAGGAAGAGAGCTAATATAAGGATAAATTTAAGCAAGAAGATGGAGGATTTTCGGTGCATAATTTATTTTGGGAAGGTTTATCTTTTTAATTTCGAGAATAAGATAAGGTAAAGATCTTTTGATTTAGAAAGAAATAAGTGGTAGTTATCTTTTACTCTTAGGCTAATGTGGAAGTTAGAATAAGAGAAAATAGGGATGACACATGAGGAGAGGTAAAATAATATCACTTTTTTGGCATTCGCATCCGCCGGACCCTTGTTTTACTTCATGATTTGTCACAGGAGTCATGTTCCAGGGTGATAAAGAAATGAGCTGTAAGCTTCTTTATTTTAAAATATTAATAAAAAACGGGTAGAGAGCTTTCTCCCCGGTTGATTTACCCAAAAAAAAAGAAGAGAAATTATAAACTTATTTTTAGAAAGATAGACTTTATTTTGTTTGGGTTCTTTTTTAGTTATTTATTTATTTTATTTGAAGTTTATTTAAATGGAAGATGTCTTTCATTGTTTAAAGAATGATCAGAGAATGCGAGTTGAATAAAGTTGCATATTAGAGTATGATTTAAGAATTGAATAAAGTTATCCATTGTTTAAAGAATGATCAGAGAATGAGAGTTGAATAAAATTGCATATTAGAGAATGATTTAAGAATTGAATAAAATTAATCTTGTGATAAAATCCTTTTGGGGTGTACTCATTGGAGACCTTGTTTTTATCCATGCATCAGAAATTACGGTTAATAAGTGGGGCAATGGCTTCTAATTATTGTTGTTATTAAATAACTAGGTAGGTTGCTTCTTGAGCACCTAATATTCTACCGCATAAAGCAAAGTTGTTTTCACAATTATCCTATATAATTTGCCCTTCATATTCATTGATATGAGACGATCGCATAAACTCCAGTTGCACACCTCCACTTCGCCCACCTAGCTCTAATTCTACAGGCGACATCTTCCTCAATCTCTCCATTTTTCTGAATTATCGAATCAAGATATTGAAAGCACGTTTCTTTTTGCATTTCTTGACTGTCAATCTTAACTACTTCGTCACCTCTAGTCCTATTATTTCTAAACTTGCATTTCATACGCTCTATCTTAATCTGGCTAATTTTAAAACATTTAGATTCTAGAGCATCCCTACAAAGTTTTAACTTTGTATTGACATTGTTTCAGGTCTCATCAATCAAAACTATGTCATCCACGAATAACATACAGTATGGTAACTCATATTGTAGATGCCTAATTAAATCATCCATAATTAAAATAAAGATGTATAGGCTCAATGGTGAGCCTTGATATTGACGTATTATTACAGACCTATTATGACTTGGAACTTATATGTCTCCATTAGTTGTTTGCGCACCAGTTAGCGCTCCCTCGTACATATTTCTCACCGAGTCAATATAGTGTCTAGAGACTTCCTTTTTTTTTTTTTTTATTCGAACAGCCACCAAATTAAATATCAAAGTACTCTATCATAAGTTTCTCTAGACCAATAAAGACCATGGCGGGTCTTTTACCTTCGTCGTAAACTTCTCAATCAATTGTTTAAGTAGAAAAATAGCCTCAGTTGTCGACCTCTCTGGTATAAAACAAAAGTGGTTTTTTGATACACTCATTTCATGCTTCAGACATTACTAAATCGCTCTCTCCTATAGCTTCATAGTGTGGCTCATATGTTTGATTCCTCAATAATTCATATAATTTTGTTTCTCCTTTGCTCTTTTAAATATGTACCATAATACTTTTTCCTCTATTCATTGGCATTTTTTTTGTTCTTAACAGCTTGATCATCCAGTTAACACTGATATCCCCCATATACTTCCAAACCTCTATCATGGTCTTAAAGCCTTTCCTATCTTCATTCTCTTCAAAGCTTATTTCCTTCTGATCTCCTAATCCTACGAATGTATCTATGGCATCCGCTCTCATTTATGTCAACCGTTCATTCTACTGTTATGTTCCCATTGTGCCTGCCATTTAATAAATTTTAAAATAAACTCTCCACCTTTTATTGACATTTTCATCCACCAAGCCCAATGCATATAATATTGTAATATATTATAAATATTAAATATTTATTATAATATACAAATTACTTACTCAGTCATCCTTGGAGGGGAGCCATTGGGGGTGAAACACCTCCTCCCGGCCTCTGGGAGATATTTGAGATCTATCAGCTTCTCAGCTCGCAGGCCACTGATGGCCAAGTGAGCTTTTCTTGTTGGATCATATTCTTCTATGGCGAGCGCCCAGATGTTGTCGAGCCCGAGCATTACGTTTTGGGCGGCAAGGGAAAAGAGAGCCTGGAAGTCATTCACACTATTTTCGTACGTCGGTCTGCGAGGGATGACGTTTACCTTGCTGCATACTTGGCTCTCTTTATATGCAAGTTTGCCCTTCCTGGGTCCAATGATGTGATCCAACCAGGCAGTTTCTTCGTGGCCTGTGACATAGTGCAAGGACGCCAGTATGCCTTGGCATAACTAGTGTTGTGCAGTATTTATGATGGCCTCGGGTCGATCTCTTAGGCAAGCCATACAAGGGAGGAGATGGACCAGGGCTTGTAGGGGGGAGGCCTTCCCAAGGAATTTCAGGACAACATTCTCGTTCCACTATCTGTTCAGCTAGCTTTCTGCGTACTTTCCTAGTACATACATGACGAGTGCCACTTTTTTTGGGGACCATGTGCACTCAACTCGTGAAGATTGTAGGTCAAAAGACCAAATTCCACACCCCTGGTCATGCACGAAGCCTCTTTGGAGGGGATTCTTTCTTCACTCGCGAGAACCCTTTTCCCATGGGTGGCTACACTGATCGTGCTTTTGTTGACTAGCTGGGTCATGAGTTTGACGATGCCTCCACAGGCAGCCCTGAGTTGATGTTCCTTTTGAGTACAAGGGGGTGCATTCTACCTTTCAAACGCCGTTTGGTTCGATACTTGAGACGTATTACCCTCACCTCTTTGCTTGATAACATGGACCAGACCAAGGGTGTCCATTCCCTATATTGTTTGAGAAGTAGTATGGGAAAGAGGGTTCAAAGAAGTACAAGGATGACTTAGGGACTTACCGCGAGGCTTGGAAGGCAGTACATGTAAGAATAGCCTGGGCAACTTGCCTTGACCTTATGGAGGTGAACAAATTTGTTGTTCCCCATTATGGCAGGATGGGTCAGGGGATTACCAACAGCTAGTACTGACAAGTTGATCATCATTGGAAGGAGGAGAATAGCAAATGTCGTCACGATACCAAGGAAGGTTGGAATTTCGTGCCACCTGCATTCCTCAAGCCTCTCGAACTGTAATACCCCCAAGACTGGGAGCAGCTTGAGATCCAGCGAGCAATGGTGATGGATGAGGAGTCGCCACAGGTGCTTGCACTTAAAGAGAGGATATGGACTCTCTTTGATGATCTTTACTCGATTTTTAATGGAAACATGGTCGTAAAGTTTGCGGTCGAGAAGGGCGCCCTATTCAGGATTATAATGGTCCCTATTCAACCCCTGACATCAGTTTTCGCAATGACGATGCTTCAGAAGTGCTTTAGTAGCCTCCGAAGGAGAAGAAGAAGAGAAAGAAACCAACGACTCCAAACGTTTATGAATCCGAGTTTGCGCAAGAGCCATCTGCTCGCCGGAAGAGTGCCAGATTGACCAAGTCAGCTTCCGGGTCTCAACGTGTGGTTGGTCCTCCTTGTCCAGCCTCGCCTAAGACTAGTGGTACGACTACTGTTGCCGCCGAATGTCCCTATTATGATAATGTCCCTCTTGTATCGAAAGTCATTCCCTCGGTTGTGCACCCGATATGTGAGTCAGCCATTGCAGCACCCATTCCTCCTTGGCAAGTTAGCTTTGACCTGATTTCTTGTATGAAGGAGAGCAACCCTCCCCTAGTGATGGAGACAGTCTGTATGGTCAGTGGGACCATGGATGGTGGCATGGACAACATTCCAGGGGAGGGCCTTTGATGCCATTGTGATGCTTGGGCAACCCTTAGTTGCTTCCCACTTTGACACCACTGATGTAGCTGAGGCACTGGTCTTCTTGGCCTCAGACGTCGAGTCCCGCTCGGAGCTGGAGGGGTCTTTGAGTGTGGCCCTTGATGACAAGCCCTCAGAGGAGGTTGTTGACCTTGCTGTCATTCCTCCAACCAAAGTGACTGCAGCCCTAGCTTGTCAACAATCAGTCTTCCTTCTGATGTGAGGCCGGCCATGATTATTGACATGTTGTGCTCGGGTCTTCAATCATTAAAGGGACGGCCCCTTGCAGAGCTCGGTCTTGAGATTGCCAATCTTCACGGCTGTGCAACTGCCTTGAGCACTCTTGGCTGTGAGAAGGAAATTTGCACTTGCTTCGACAGTCTTTTGTGTGAGTTGGAGAACTGGCGATTATAGGCCTGAACGACAGAGTTAGAGGCAAATGAGCTTCAGGGGACTCAACTAGCCTCGTTGGAGGCTTCACTTGTGCAACATCATGAACAAGTTGACGCATGCACTCAGCGGAAGGTTGCTTGAATTATTGAAAAGTCTGACTTCAGTAAGCAAGGTACAACCCATTTGACCAAAATGAGAGCTTTGAAGGCGGAGATACTGAAGATGACCAATGGCGAGCTGGAGAGAGAGGGGAACCGGTGGAGGGCGGAATGCTAGGCTCTATTTGACGAGCTGACCTGGCTCAATCGCACCATTGAGTCAGGAGCAACTTCTGCAGCACAGGTTTCTCAGGCAGTGACCGACCTTAGGGAACGTGCACAAAAGGCTACTGGGAGTTCCGAGGCGGCGAGAGCAAAGATCAGTGAGGCCATTGATTGTTTCTAAGGGCGTTCTTCTTTCCGCCCCTCTTTACTGCTTCTTACCCTTGCTTGT